GACAGCTAGGTAACTCATGTGGATGCCCAAGGTGAGGACCAGGTCTCTGATGAAACTGTCATCAAACTGCTGATCAAGCCTGCTCTGCCCAGAAGCTCCCTCCTGTTCCTTGTAAATTGATTCCATTGAACCTTTGACAACCTCTAGGGGCTCTCTTGGTGCCAGTGTCCCTGTTCCAGTCTGATCCCCTGACTCAGGCCATATCATGATGGCCCTTGAAACTAAACTGTCATGTTTTAGACCTTGTGGACCATCAACGGTCTGACATTGATGTGCTTTTTGATAAAAAAGCCACCCAACAATGGGCCAAGATTCAAGGTGTTAAACATCCCGCCCTCACTATCATGGACAGCATCTGGTTGCCAAGCACTGGAATGGCCTTCTCCAAAATCGGCTCTACCTTCTTTACCTCCTCCTAGTCCACGCACCTTAGTATGATAACCTGATCACTGAATGTGGCCATTCCTCCAAAACATTTGTATCCTCTTGGTCAGCCATTTCTTCTTGGGTAATGACAAGGATGAAAGGAGTGGGGAAGCTCTCTAGACTTATTTTGAAAATTAAAGATTCTGCCTTGACTATTCCTTGGAATTATACTTCTTTTTCCCCCTACAATGATTACCTCAGGACAGTGTAGTTCGTAGACCCCTTGGTGTAGCCAAACCTCAAGGGAGCCTAGGGAATGCCAACTTAATTACGGTCCAGCCACCAGGATTCTCTTGTTGGATGGATGTGGTTCTAGATCACTTGATTGAGGACATTGCTCTCCAAATCCCTTAGAGTTGTCCACACATGTTATGGCAGGCTGAATGATGGCTCCCAAAGATAAACAGGTCCTAATCCTTGGAACCTGTGAATATTACTTTATATGGCAAAAAGAATTTTACAGATATAGTTAAGGGTTTTCAGATGGGAAGATTATCTTGGATTAGCCCAGTGGGCACTAAATGTAATTCCAAGTATACTGTATGTGTAAGAGGGTGGTAGGGATAGATTTTGCTACAGAAGTGAATGTGATGATGGGAAAAGAGGAGCAAAGATATTGCTAAAAATACTGAATTAGAAGATGAGGAAGAGGCCATGAGCCAAAGAATGCAAGGAATGTAGCTCCAAAAGCTAGAGATAGTAGGGAACAAATACATGTGACAAAGTGGAAGACACAATGGGTCTTTGTAAATTTTGTAAAAATGCCCTGTCTCCCTCACACCTGAGCATTATGGACAAAAGGTCTGGGTACAAATAGGGGGTAATTGGAGAAAAGGAGAAGTTACAGCTACTGGGATGTGACACACCAATTTGTAGTCATGGGAGGAGAGCAATAACCCAGCATCTGAAGGGAACACCTTAGACACAGGAGGCAGGAAGACAGTTAACACTCCTTAGTGTCTAGAGCTAGTACTACCATAGCCTGGCAAGCCCACCCATGGTCTGCCTGAGTTAGGCAGTGCCTTTGGCTGTCAATCTGACCCTCACTGGGTTTGTCAGTCTTGAAATTCCTCAATGAGAACACCCTTCTCCTCCATATGCATGCTGACATAACACACAGACCAGGACAACCTTGTTTCACACTGATATACATTCATGTACTTCTCCTGAGGCCCAAACGTTCTTGAGTCAACAAATCTTATTGACTCTACTTTCAAAATGTATCCTGAATTCAGCCAGAATTTGCAGGCTGTGCTCTATGCAGGGAAGCTGGGTGAGGGAGCAAGTGAGGACCAAAACCTAGCCTGAGCTCCAGAAGGGACCCACCCTTCCTTCCTTCCTTCCCTCCTCTTTCCTTCTTTCTCTCCTTCTCTCCTCTTTCTCTCTCTTCTTTCTTTCTTTCTTTTTTAAAGAATTTATGAGATTTACTCTCTTAGCAACTTTCAAATATGCCACGCAGTATCATTACTAAAGCCCCAGGCTAGGGACTCTTTTTCTTTCTTTTTTTAAAAAAGATTTTATTTATTAATTTTTAGAGAAAGGGGAAGGGAGGAAGAAAGAGAGGGAGAAAAAAATATACATATATATGTGAGAAAGAAACATGGTTCGTTGCCTCTCACACCTGCCCCAACTGGAGTCTGAACCCACAACCCAGGCATGTGCCCTGACGAGGAATCAAACCAGCGACAATTTCGCTTTGCAGGATGATGCCCAGCTAACAAGGCCACATCAGTCAGGGCCTAGGGACTCTTTTTCTAATGCCGCACTGGGGCATATGAATAGCTGCAGGTTTGAGTTATCTTCCACTTCTACCTCTATTGTCCAGGTCCATGCTATGGTCATCTCTCACCTGGAGTAGAATAATAGCTCCACTTCCATACTTCTATGGTCCTTACCACCTAACCTCCATGCATCAGCTTGGGTGACACTTTATAGACTTGAGTCAAATCACATTATGCCTCTGTTCAGACTGAAAGCCAAAGTCCTAATAATGGCCCAAAAGACTCTGTCTCTGCTCTGATTTCATCTCCTATTACTTTCTCCCTCACTCACTCAGGTCTGGTCATTGACTTTCTCGTTATTTCTGGAACACACAGAACAGTCTCCTGTCTGAAGAACTTTGTGATTATTTTCTCTGGAATACTCTTCCTCCAGGTATCCTCATATCTTGCTCCCTTACTCCATTTGGTCTTCCCTTCCATGTAAAACCACACCCCTGCAATCCCTGTTAATATCCTGATGTGTGTTTACTGTCTGTTTCCTACAACTAGAATGTAAGCTTCACAGACTCAGAACTTAGTTGTGTTCAGTGCTGTATCCCTAGCACCTAGAATTGTGCTTGCTGCATAGTAGACACTCCTAAATATCTGTTTTTGTTAAATAAATGAATGATGCATGGATGGATAACACCTGATCTCAAGGATTAGAATGTCTTTTTTTTAAAGATTTTATTTATTTATTTTTGGAGAGGTGGAAAGGAAGGGAGAAAAACATCAGTCAGTTGCCTCTTGTATGCGTCCCAACCAGAGACTGAACCCTGCAACCCAGGCGTATGCTGTAATCAAATTGCTAACCTTTCCCTTTGTGGGATGACACTCAACCAACTGAGCCACACTGGTCAGGGCAAGAGTAGAATTCTTTTTTTTTTTTTTTAGATTATTTATTTATTTATTTTTAGAGAGAGGGAAAAGAGGGAGAAAGAGAGGGAGAGAAGCATCAATGCGTGGTTGCCTCTCTCCCCTCTGGTGACCTGGTCCACAACCCAGGCATATGCCCTGACTGGGAATCAAACTGGCAACTTTTTGGTTCACAGACTGGCGCTCAATCCACTGAGCCACACCAACAAGGACAAGAGTAGAATTCTTGACCACACCACAGACTCAAAACTATTGGTGACCCAGTCTGGTTATTTCCTGGAGGGCCCTCACTTCACTCCTCAATATCTTTTCTTTGCAGACTCTCTGAACAGATTTTCCCCCATATGCCCAATTACCTCTAACCTGTGGAAGGAAAAGTTAACACAACAACAAAGTGATGCATTATATTTACAAGTAGTTTCGTTGGATGGTAGAAAGAGAACAGTGAGATAGTTGTCTTAACACAATGTCAACTTGAGTTTTCGTTGCTAGTTTTTAAATACAATGCACTTTTAAGAAATGTTCAGTGATATTACTTTCAAAGCATGTGTAATCAACTGATTTAATTCCAAAAATGTTCTTGAATTTCACAATAATTACTGTTTTATGAGTTATGTAATTATCTGAACAGTGTTTCAAAAGCATTTGAAGCAACAGTAAGACAAAGGAGTACTTTAAAGTGTGAAACAGCAACACAAACTATGAACTTTATTAACACCAGAATAATTCTTGTCTTTATTGTAATCTTCGATCTAGCTGAGAAGCATTACACTTCTAAGAGAAGTAAGGCATATATGTTTTTCTTCTGTAAACATTTCAGCTGGCTGAGAGGTTTTTCACTGGGAATTAGAATGAGAGATAAACTCTTCACTTCCCCTTGGCTAGAAGACCTCTCTCCCTGCAGGATTTCTCAGGCTCCTTTCTTTGAGGGTTGCTGGCCCTTCAACTTCCCTTTATCCAGGATCCTAAATAGAAAGTTTGCTTAATCCACATAAGTCACCATTATCACTAAAAAATATCTCCCTAGCTCTGGGCACTAGAGTAGGCTCTGCAGGATTAAGAAATAGGTCTCTACCTGCTTTATAGAGTTTACACTTTGGGTTAAGTACAGACACATATTAAAAGAGCCAGCCAGATACATTGGGACAGCAGAAGGCCGGGCAAAGGCAGTGTACACAACTTGATTGCATATAGGAGTGGGGAGAGGGTGAGAGTGGTCTCTTTCCCAGAGGTGGAACTCATGGAGATGGAGACCACTGGGAGGATGGGAGGGGTTAGAAAATGCTGAGGTGTTCCTAGTACTGAAGGTAATATCAATATTTGGAAGAAAGATAGGACATGCAGATGGAGCCACTCAAGACTAGGCTCCACCCCAAATACCCATTCATTTATTAAAAAATTATTTAGGTATCCAAGTGTAAGGTACCGAGTTGGTCATGGAGTTACAATGAATACAACAGAAGGCCCTTGAGTGGGAATGGGGCCTGTGGAAAGGACGGATGTGAGAGGTAGTGTGGCTGAAACATGGGGACCAGAGGGCAGATAAAGAAAGATCAGGGTAGAATGGCAGGTAGGTACAAGAATATACATGGCCTTGCAGGCCACGGCTAGCAGCTTGAATATTATTGAGGGCAATAACATATTTCATTCATCCTGCAATATACTTCGGAACTAGTCAGTCTTATTACAATTTTATTAACGGAGGAGAAAAGGTTGGGACGGGTGGGGTCAAATAATTTATTTAAGGCTAGCCACAGACAAGGGCCGGGATCAGGGCCTACAAAAACCAGGAGACGTCGAGGTGGTGCGCGCCTTCGGCTTTCGCTGTTGGGCGGGGGTAGGCGGTGTGCGGGCTAAAGCCAGGAGTCAGACTAGGTGTACGCCCGACCGCAGTGCGCATGCGCCCCTGTCGGACGGAAGCCGGGAGGGGGCGGGGCCCAGGCCGACGGGCGCGAGGAAAATGGCGGCAGCGGCGGCAGCTGCGGCGAACGGGACGGGTGGGAGCAGCGGGATGGAGGTGGATGCGGCAGGTAACTGGCCCCGCGGGGACAGCTTCTGGAGACGGCTTTCGGGGTGCGTCAAGGCCGCCTTCCTGGATCCTGGAAGAAGTCAGGAGGGCGGACGGAACATCCCACCCCGGGATAACTTGCAGGAGGGATGTGTAGCCCGGGCTTTGCCATCTCCGGGGCAGGACGTGGGCCCCGGACTCTCACCCGCTGTTCTTTTCCTCAACCCTTAGTAGTCCCCAGCGTAATGGCCTCCGGGGTGACTGGGAGTGTTTCAGTCGCTCTTCATCCCCTCGTGATTCTCAACATCTCAGACCATTGGATTCGCATGCGCTCCCAGGAAGGGCGGCCTGTGCAGGGTGAGTGTTAAGCCTAATTCTGCAATCTTTTCTGGTCATCTCCCCCAAATAGCAGCCTTTTTTCCTTCCTCGTTCCAGTTGGTGGTTCACATTGACCTCAGACCCTCAGGATATAATGATGAGGGAAGTTTTGGGATTCTTTACCCTCGCCTCTTATGTGTTCTTCTCTTCCCCAGTGATTGGGGCTCTGATCGGGAAGCAGGAGGGCCGAAATATCGAGGTGATGAACTCCTTTGAACTGCTGTCACACACCGTGGAAGAGAAGATTATCATTGACAAAGAATATTATTACACCAAGGAGGAGCAGTGTGAGAGGGGAATATAAGTGGGCAGAGGAGTGGGAGAAAATAGATGTCGGGAAGATGGATAAGGTTGGGAACAAATAAACAGGACATGGGATCAGTACGGTGGAAAAGTGAAGAGGGAATAGCTGAAGATATCTCAGAAAAAGAAGACACTCAAGTTATTCTGCCCAAGAAAGTAAAGGATGAGATGATAGAAGGAATTCTAAACTGAGTGAGGATTTGAGGGGGAAGGGGAGAAGCTGGTGAAAATACACCAGGAGCTTCGAATTAAGGAAGGATTGTTTAAAGAAATACTTTGTGCTCTGGCCCCTTTCTCTCCAGTTAAACAGGTATTCAAGGAGCTGGAGTTTCTGGGTTGGTATACCACAGGGGGGCCACCTGACCCCTCCGACATCCATGTCCATAAGCAGGTATACATGCTCACATATGTGCGTGCTGGGGCAGAGAATAGAGAATGAGGGGAAGATGGGCATTGACACTCATGTCCATCATGTTCCTCTTCCAGGTGTGTGAGATAATCGAGAGCCCCCTTTTTCTTAAGTTGAACCCTATGACCAAGCACACAGATGTGAGTATACTCACCCCATCCATGCTTTGTCATGCTTGTCATTATGCTCATCTTTCATTCTCATCCCTTTTTACTGTATGACATTTCTATTAAGTTGAAGCTCCATTCTGCCACTTACCAGCTGTATGACTTTGAGTTAGTCATTTAACTTTTAATCTGCATTTTCCTCACGTGTAAAATGAGAAAAATCCTTTTGTGATTGTGTTTATTAGACGAGAAAATCCAAAGTGAAAAGGCTAAGCCCAATTTTTGGTACATAGTATAGGTTCAGGTGCATTTGATGAAAGAGCTGTTCTGTATCTCTTTACAGCTTCCTGTCAGTGTTTTTGAGTCTGTCATCGATATAATCAATGGAGAGGTAATGCCCTATCTTTCAACCCTCATATTCTACCCCTGGCATTTTCTGCTTTTGACTCTCCGTATGTGCTCCGCAGGCCACAATGCTGTTTGCTGAGCTGACCTACACTCTGGCCACAGAGGAAGCAGAACGCATTGGTGTAGACCATGTGGCCCGAATGACAGCAACAGGCAGTGGAGAGAACTCCACTGGTAACTGAGGCTGGAAGGTTGTCCTTGAAAGTGGGGGTGGAAGGTGTCGTCACAAGACTTCTCAACTGTGGCCTGTCCCTGTCCCCCTGCAGTGGCTGAACACCTGATAGCACAGCATAGTGCCATTAAGATGCTGCACAGCCGTGTCAAGCTCATCTTGGAGTATGTCAAGGCCTCTGAAGCAGGTAGAACTAGGGGTCTTCTGGCACTTTTCCTCATTCCTGGGGAAGTGATAGCATCCACATTAATACAGCCTTTCTGTGCCTTTAGGAGAGGTCCCCTTTAACCACGAGATCCTGCGGGAGGCCTATGCTCTGTGTCACTGTCTTCCAGTACTGAGCACAGACAAGTTCAAGACAGACTTTTATGATGTGAGTGTAAAACCCAGGATGGGGAGGTGGGGCTTAATGCTGTCATTTCTGAATGCAGGACAAAGGACTCAGTTGTTCCTTGGGCATGCTGTGAAGGACCCAGATCCCCTGGGGAACTGGTTCTTTCTGTTCCCTCCCAGCAATGCAATGACGTGGGGCTCATGGCCTACCTTGGCACCATCACCAAAACGTGCAACACCATGAACCAGTTCGTGAACAAGTTCAACGTCCTCTATGATCGACAAGGCATCGGCAGGCGGATGCGAGGGCTGTTCTTCTGAGGGTACTTGAAGAGATGACGCACAGGGGTCAGACAACTGTCCCAGAGGGAGGGGTGCTATACTCCCTTTAGAGAAACCTGTCATTAATAAAAGGGGAGCAGTCCCTCAGCACCCCTTCCAGTGGCTCTGTCCTGTATTAGGGGTACCACACAGGTCTTCAACTTGGATCAGTGGAGCCCTTCTGTATCATCAGCTGTTCTTGATACTTTTCAGTGATTGGGAGCTTATTGCCATTTGAAGTTGATTCCATGTGTGGTTAGGGGGGGTGTCTTTACATTCAGCAGAAGGCTGCCTCTTTCCATCTCAGCAGTCTGTTTTGTTTAATGTCTCCTTGTAAAGGACTACTTTCCCAAGCTTAATCTGTTTACACACACACACACACGCACACATGCACACACACGGAGGGAGGGAGGGGGGTATTAAGCACATTTCTCTCAGGGACAAACGAAAGCTTTGATCTTGTGGGAACTAAATATTGCCAAGAGATGTTCCCCAATTGTTGCTAAATATTTGAGTGCTTTGCCAGTTATGTGCTTGACCCATAGGCACCTCAGCCAAGGCAGAGATACTAGTGTCTATACTTTAGATGAGGCCAGGTGGTAAAATTATGGGGACTGTTCTATGCAATTACTTGTGCCAGGCATTTCATTTTTATGTTCCTTCCTCTAAGTCTGATTTCCATTACCCACTAAATAAGACTTTCCAACTGGAGTTGGGGGACTAGGGAGGTGTAAGAGTCATTTCAGAAAGTAGAAGGGGAAAGGAGTTGACTTGGAGAGGTCCTATACTGCCACTGTATCTTCAGAACCTTAGTGGCACAGCAGTATGCCCTACATATACTTGAATCCACCTGAGAGGAGATCCAGAGCAGTCAGTCTCTCTATAGTGGGATTCTCATTCCTCACTGCATTCCACATCTCTACTGGTGCCTGGCAGGTACTTTACTCAGTGCATTTTTGAGTGGGATGAAAGATGACATATAAAGGGAACAAGATGTGAACTTAGGACACGCATAATACCTCACTTTAACAGAAGGTATCAATCTATAAACACTTTATTAGCAAAAAGAACGAACAGAACTTTAAAATAAGTGCAGCTTAGGAAAAAGATGGGATCCTCCTTTCCTCTCAAGGGCACTGTTAGACCTTGAAGGGGGTGGGGGGGCTTAAGCACAGTATGCAGAATAGACGCCAGTGTTTCAAGTGGGTTGTAATCACACAAAAGTTATCCGAGTCCGGGCAGTGTTGACTTGCCATACGTTTAACTCCTCATACTCATCTAGCGCTGCCTGGAACTGGGCAGGTGTGAAACCACGCGATATGCAGCGCTGCTCTGCCTCAGAAAACCGGACACTGCGGCCCTCTGAGACCAACTCCCGGACGGTGGCAAATATCACATCTGCTGGCCTCTGGGTCCTGAAGGAAACAAGTGTGGGTGTGGGTAAGGTCATAGTACAAATGAGCACTAAATATATCAGAATAGCGATGTCAGAATTTTGAGACCACCGTTGTATAGGTGTTACCGAAGCCAAAATGGCCTGCTCAACAAAGTCTAGGTGACTGATTTCTTCCTTCATTAAACAACTCACCTAGCTGTTTGTCCCTTGTCACTCAGAAGTGAGTCTTTTGACATCTCCATTAGCCTTATGGCTTCATTCACATCTTCCTTCTCCACTGTGTCCACCATTCGCAGTCGTGCCTAAGGGGAAGGTAGGGACAGATGGGAACAGGAGGAGGGGAGTGGCACAGTCAGGGAACTGCCTTCTGTGTTGCCTACCAACAAAAAACAAGTGGAGGTGCCCTGCCCGCCCCAACAAACATCCGCAGTGTGGGGCCGGCACTGTCAGACCGAGACAAGTGCAATGCCCAGGGCAGCGTCCAGCAATTGCCCAAGTCTCCGCCTCTCAACACTGGCCAGTCCCGGTGTTCAGCTGTCCTGCGAGGGAGACTAGACCCTTCTGAATTCCAGTGGGCTCCCCACCATGACAGATGGAGCTTGGGGAGCTCAGCCTAGAAGGCAATTGGCATAGAGGTTGTGTCCCTGGGGCTCTGGAAGTGCTAGCTCAGCAGTAGGTCAGATAATCACACTACCTGCACGAACAGCACTTTGGAGCCCCCAGGACTAAGGTCCAAGATGTAAGGACAGAATGAAGGTTTCTAGCACAGGATCAAGGTCATAGTGAAATTCACCCCACCCATCCTCGCAGTCAGGTTTGAGAAGCAGGGAGGCGGCCTTTCCCTCCATGGATGCTGTGCGCGCCCTGCTGGAGCAGCAAGTACCCACAGTGCGGTAGCATGGACAGGACCACTATCTGCACTGTCAGCACTTTAGCCCCAGCAGGGCTTGAGTGGAAGGGAGGAGGCAACGAGAAAGGACAATATTAGGGCAGGCTGCCCAGTAAGAGTCAATAGTCAACCCTCCAGAATAGGAACTGGGTACTCACCAGAGCAGTGGACAGTCGCAGAATAGCCAGCAGAGTCCTGGCAGAAGTATAGGTGGCATCCTTACTGGCCCAAGCCTCTCGTCTCATCTCCACGTACGCTGCGGTGATATAGTCAGCCAGAGACTCTGGCACTGTTGGCTGCTTCTCCCGGCACATAGCTATGTATCGTCTGCAAGAAAATTGGTTTGTGGGGAAGTAGAAAAGGGAGATGGGGAGTATATTTCTCATTTAATAAAACTGTTGGGGTTGAGGGAGATCTTTTAAGTAGGAGAAAAAAAAAAAGCAGATGACTATCTGTGTGACTTGCATGTCATTGATTGGTTTCTTGGTGCCGTTTCAAATTATTTCTAACTTTTAAGGCAAATGGCCTGTGCGTGAATAAGACGTCCACCTGGCAGTGAACATGATATGGCTAAAAGGAACAAATATATTTTGTTTACTTTGTAAGACAAATGTTTATTTGAAGAGATAACAGGGAGGAAAAACCTTGAGAAACCACTGGGAACCCTTGAACAGACTTGTGGAGAATATAGTGACATCAAGTATCTTTTGGAGCAGGACTCAGCTTTGCCTAAAATCTGAACTTGCCTCACCTGAGACAGGCCAGTGGTATGAAAGATTGGTTCTGATGTGTGTGCTTCTGTGACCAGGCTGGGAGGGGACCCTAAAACTCAATACTTAGATCTAAGACACAGAAAGGGGCAGAGTGGTAGTGAAACACACACCTTAAGACTGAAAAGTTCAGGAGAAAAACACAAGGCCCAACACACTGCCTCACAAGGTGACTAAGTGAAGAACACTCGTCTTTACTCAGCACTCCTACCTCATAAGCTTCATGTCCAAAGGTTCAAACTGGGCGGGAGGCTGCCGGCTATGCTGGTGCACATAAGTGATGTGCTGGGCCAACCTGGGAATAGTAGAGGCAAGGAGGGACAACAGTCATGCTACACACCCTGGACCCCAACTCTTGTCTTCTTCCCTTGGCTCCATCCCATCATAGCATGGCAGGGACAAACTTTCACAGGAAATCCTTAATAGTGTCTCAGCCTAGACCAACCATTTCCCTATGAACTGTGGAGTAACGTTCATGAGCAAAGATTCTGAGGGCTTTCCAATTTCTCCCTCCCTCCAGATCATCCCTAAGGGATGACTCCTTAAGTGTTGAGATTTATTCACCGTAGGTCATTGTCTCGGTCAGGGCGGTCCTGGATCAGCCAGAGGAGGTCAAATCGGGAGAGAAGTGCGGCAGGAAGCTGTATGTTCTGTTCCAGGCTGCGGCGAGGGTTGTAGCGCCCATAGGCAGGGTTGGCAGCAGCCAGGATGGAACAGCGAGCATTGAGTGTCGTTAGAATGCCTGCCTTGGCAATGGAGATGGTCTGCTGCTCCATGACCTCGTGAATGGCTGTGCGGTCAGCCTCAGCCATCTTGTCAAACTCATCAATGCAGCACACACCCTGGTCAGCCAGCACAAGGGCCCCGCCCTCTAAGGTCAGTTCTCCAGTCACAGAGTCTCTCAGCACAGCTGCTGTGAGCCCCACGCCAGAAGAGCCTCGGCCTGTTGTGTACTGACCTGAATGGCAGTGTCAGGAAGGAAGCAGACATGTTTAGGAAAGGGGAAAGGAGCAACAGAGCAAAGGACACAAGTAATGGGGACGGAAAGGTGAGGCATGCACTGATCTACTCTACTGCCCATCCAAGCCTTCCTGGGTAAAGATCTATGGGGTATTAGTGCTGACAATTCTCTCCCCCAATCTTCTCCCACCTCCCAAATCCCTGGGAAAGAGAATAAACATGGTGGTCCTATGCCTGTCTTCTACATTTACCTCTCCCAGAGTGATTACTCACTGCGGGGGGCCAGGCGATCAATGTAAGACAGGAGCTGAGACTTAGCCACACCAGGATCCCCCATCAGGCAGATGTTGATGTTGCCTGGAAGAGAAGGCAGCCCCTCAATTACTTTTGCAGTACAAGCTGTCCAACAACAGATAAAAATACTTATGAGGTCTACCCCCACCCCCATACTTAGTATTGTTTCTTCTGATCCCTTCCTGTGTCCATGAAGTCAGGATATCAACTTTTTAAATTTTGTGATTTATAGGGATATTAGTTTTGGTCATCCTTTCCTCCAGATAAATGCCGTCCCTTACCGCAAGCTCCCCTGTCCCCGTCATGTCCTCTTACCCCTAATTTTCATGCCCCGAGGAGACTGGTCCACACCCCCCACCAGCAGGAGCAACAGTGCCTTCTTCACATCTTCATGCCCATATATCTCTGGAGCAATGGAGGCTGCCAGCTTTTCATAGAAATCCTCCTCTGAGGAAAAGTGAAGATTAGGAAAAAGAAAGTACTAGGAAGAAACATTCCTGGTCTTTCCCCCAGCCCCTCACCTGCAATTTGTCTTAGCTCCTCCCTGCTCAGCTCTCCAGACCCAGACTCATCATCCTCACTCTTACTCATCTTCACAATCCGATGGGCTTCCAGATAAGTTTCCGAGAGTAAACCCTGGAACAGAAAAAGGTCAGGATGTGAATGGCCATCCACACGACTCTTTCAGGAGTCCCTGACAAAACCCTTTGCTCTATTTTGTTTTGCTGTTAATAGTTTTCTCTGTGGGGGTGGTAACTGAATGGGCAAGAGGGAAAAGGGACTATTTCCTCATTTCAAATTCCCTTACCTGTACCACCTGTCGAAACTCAGAACGCAAGATTGGCAAGAAGATACCAGTGACACTGACGTGGTCCCCAGGCTGGGCGATCCGTGTGTTCTCTCCTTCTACCAACACCGTGATGCTACGAGGGATATTTCCCACGGGCACTTGATCACTCTGTGGAGGATAAGGATGTACAGGCAAGGAAAAAGAACCTAAGGCCCCTAAGGACCTAGGCATCCCACTTTTTACATCTTAGCCTGTCCAGTTTCAGACAAGTTAATGGGAGGAAGTGGAGATCTCCTTTACCTCTTTCCCAGCTCAATCAAAGTTCCAGTTAACCCCCCCTCCTGCTCTAGGTGACTTTTCTACCTCAGCTCTCCCTTCTGTTCTTTCTTTCTTCAACTCCATGAGTGACTACAGTATTCAAACTGATTCCCAAGCTCCACCTTCCCTGGGCAACATATCCCAAACTCACATGTTCTTGCATCTTCATCTCCTGGAATTTGATGAATTTGGAGCCACGTGTTTGCAGATATAGCCGTCCTCCTGAGCGGTTGGTCTGGCACTCTTGGCTCGGGCACATGATCAGAGGCATGAAAGTAGGAGACTGGATCTAGGATTTAAGAAAGCGTCAAAGGAAATCAGAAGAAAATGAGCCATTTAGATCAGTCACTTGAATCACATTTCATCTTAACGAAATCGTCAAGGACATTCTGAACTATTCTGTGAAAACATCGACAGACATAAAGAACACAAATGGAAAGACCACTACATACCAGAAAAAGAATAAAAGACAAATGAAACCAAGCGTTACAATAAGCAGAATAAATAACACAGAAACGTTGACAAAATTCTTATAAAAACCATTTAATGAAATTCCTTACTTCTTACATACCGGCTGGTAGGTCTCTGCCCCACACTGGTCACAAGTGTACGTAGCCACCACCATCCTGGGTTTGACCTCAGAGACACGAGTGACGATTCCACGCACAGTTACCAATTTCCCCACAGAGTCGGCCCGTACTTCCCGGATCACACGAGGCTTATTACTGCTTGGGCCTTGAAAGTACAGCTCACTAAGGGAGAAAATGGTCATTAGCAAGGTTCTTGAGAACCAATTCCCACTCCCTTCCCTACTGAGACCACTCACAATCTACGCATAAGTTCAGGAGGGTACTGGTTCTGGGGGCTTCGGGCTGCCCCAGGGTCTCGGCTCCGCTGCTCCATCATCAGTCGATGTTCTATGTAAACATCTAGAACATCTTTATTTACTACCTACAGGCAGAGGGAGAAAGATGGGAAAAATAAGCGGCAGGCAGGATGGGGCATAAAAGACACCCAGCAGAAATCACTGCCCCCTCCTCCTGCCAGCTCAGAAAACAATTAACTGAGAGGCTTCCTAAGTTCTTTGCCTTGCATTTTCTTGCACTCACCTCCCTCTCCTTGTACTGAGGCAGCAGCTCTTGAATAGAATCAGCAAAGAGCCTCGCATAGCGCTTGGTGTTCTCACAAATTGAATCCACCAACTCTGGGTCCTCCTCGGCCACATCATCTAAGTCTACGTACATTGCCACTTGTTCCCGATGAGCCAGTCGAACCTGGAGTGAGGAACAATCAGGAAAATCTCAGAGCCAAGTTTACTGTGCTCATTAGTGTTTACATGCATGGACCCATCACTGTGAGCTGAGGACACAGATTCCAGGCCTCCAAAGGGGAGAAAGAGCAGTGTGAGGCAGAACAATACTCCCTTCTTAGCCCCCCAGACAGCCTCTCAACTCCTAAAAACCTTAGTTATCACAACTACAGGATAGGATTATAGTCACTTACCAAGTATCAGATACCGCACTCAATGTATGTCACTTACAGACAATTGTACTTACTGAAATAAGCCAGGCCACCTCTTACAGCTCGTTTAGCCCATTCCCTCTAATCTTAAGACTTACCAATTGGTTCCCATACTTGAACTGCTTCTTGCCAAACTCGTCATCCTGGTAAAACTCTTGCAGGAATTTCTTCACCTTTTCTATAATGTAAATGTAAAACCATGAGGATCAACATTCCTTTCTTTCAGATACCTTATTGCAAACCCCTTTGACAGAAATCGAAGAAACCCATCTTCACTTAAATAAATGCATTAGTTTTATGAATATTTAAATCATCCTATATAACCCTCCCCAAACTGGGTAGAACTCCTTTTACAAGTCTGTTTTAATCTAGAGAAGAATTAGGGGCACCTGGCAGTTTAGAGTATTACCCAATACCCTCTCTCTAGGGGAACTCCGGTCTCTGCCTTCTTTCGGAATCTCAGCGCTCTTTCCCAGAGGCCTCCCGCTCCCAGCAGCAAGCTCAAGCCGAAAGGTTCTCATCTTTTTTCCGTAAGTACGATCGCCCCTGTTCTTTCAGTTCCTAAATCTCGCCCACTAATCCCATCCTCCACCCCACCCCCTCTCCCGCCACTGCTTCCGCTCTTAGTAAACAAAGAAGCACATGGGCCCAGATGCGGCCGCCTCACAGCCCGGGATTCCTCCGCCCAAGGCGGGAGCCGGCCCGGCGATCGGCGGGCTGGTCCAGGACCACTCCGTATCCCCCCAACAACTCCTCTACCTCCTCTCGGACTCGCGCTAAAACCCCCAATTCCAGACACACCCCCACCCTTAGGAGCTCTCTCTCCGAGACTACCGCGCGGAAGGACACTGTTTACACACGGCACTCCACCAGAGGCGTCGCGCAACTTCCGCTCGCCTACACTTCCGTTTGTAGGTTGGCCTAAAACGGCCAATCCCCGCGCGCAGCAGCCCGAGCAAGCCCTCCCCCCGGGCTTCGGCATCTCCGCAGGACTCGGGTAGTTAGGAGTGCCTGAAAGCACGAAGGGTATCGGGGCCCGGGGTGCCCGACCCTACTCCCTGAACAGTCTAAAAATGTCGATCCCTGCTAGGCATGACTTTTCCCACTCGAGCCCACAGTCTGTCCCCTCACGACGGCCCCCACTCCTTTTCCGGACACTATCACCAGCGCTTCGACCTCGCGTCTCCGCGTGCCTCCCAGGAGCCGTCTGCCTCGGCCCCGCGGCCTTCAGAACCGAGTTCCGACCTCGCGCGCAGGACCCGGCCCTGTAGGAGCCCAGCTCACTCCAGTAGGTGTTGGACAGGGGGTTTCCCGCACAGAATGTCCCTCCCAGGCTTGCAGACCCTCACCTTTCTCCAGGGCGTAGTCCTTAAGTGCCATCACTGCTGAGAACAGTGCTGCAGCAGTTGACGGGCTCAAGGTTCTCACTCCCCGGTAGCAGCGAACGTTCGCGCGGCGAACTGCGGCTGACCAACCGAAATTGGCGCGAAACGTCGCCCAACACGTGACTGGCGCCGCTGCATGCGGGCCAATCCGAAAAGAGACTCTCTGTCCCTCCCTCTCACCGCGGGCTCCAGTCTCCGCCAATCACACAACGTCTGGCTGAGTGACGGGCTTGGGCGAGGCGGGGCAGGAGCCAGATTTCCCGCGTACGAAGGGAATCGCTCTTAAAGGGCTAGCCCATTCGCGTCCTTTTGTTCCGGGGCCGCTGGGCGGGGCAGGCCTAACTTATTTCGTAGTCTATTCAGCAGAACGGCAATGATTTCGCAGTTCTTCATTCTGTCCTCCAAGGGGGACCCACTCATCTACAAAGACTGTATCCTTGACCCACAGGTTCCAGGGGGACGGGCTGGGTGGGAGCAGTGTCCTTTAGCTAGCCTGGGTTGCCAGCTCCTTAGCTGTCCTTCAACCTGACAGTCCGCGGGGACAGTGGCGGCCGAGATGTGGCCGAGCTTTTTTACCGGAAGCTGACGGGACTGCCCGGAGAAGAGTCCCCGGTTGTCATGGTAACCACACGGTGCTAGGAGTTGTACTTAGGGCCGGCGGGTAAGGGGGGGGTGTCTCCTCTCTCTCAGGGCTGCGTCCTTGAGAGCTTCCCCTTAGAGGGTGTACATTTCTCCAAATAATATTGAGGAAAGTTTAGTGAGCGCTAACCATATAGCAGCACAGCTCCTCGCACATCTCAATTCTCAGCACCTCTGGGGTGGGTACTATCATTAACTCCACTAACACTTTGGGAAACTGGGTCCTAGAGAGGTTTCTAGTTCGCTCTCAGTCGCACGGCTCGGGAGTAGGGGAATCAGGATACCAGCCCAAGTGTCCTGGGCCCTTAAGTACAACTCTCTTCCTGACACTTTTTCCCTCCCCCTTGCCCTCCTCCCGTTTGCCTCAGCACCACGATGACCGTCATTTTATTCACATCAGACATAGCGGTCTCTATATGGTGGCCACGACTTCAGAAAACATTTCTCCCTTCAGCCTCCTAGAGCTGCTCTCTCGGTGAGGAGGGCAGGGCTGGGCAGCTGGGTGTGGGGGGCTGAGAAGAGGAAGAGATACACAGTCCATTCTTTTTTCTAAGGTTAGCCACTCTCTTGGGTGATTACTGTGGCTCCCTGGATGAGGGGACCATCTCCCGCAACGTGGCTCTTGTCTATGAACTCCTGGACGAAGTGTTGGTAAGGTTCAATGATTTCCCTCCCTCACTGTCCCTGTTCCCTGAAGATCTATTCCTTGATTGGGAAGCTAAGTCCACTCCTTTTCACCTCTTTCCTCTACTGGCCACCCAAAGACTGTCCATCCTCCATCCCTAGGATTATGGCTACATACAGACTACATCCACAGAGATGCTGAGGAACTTCATTCAGACTGAGGCTGTGGTTAGCAAGCCCTTCAGCCTCTTTGATCTCAGCAGCGTTGGCCTGGTCAGTGGAGGAAAAGAGGATGGGGCAGGGAGGGGGACGGGTGGGGAAGTAGGGTTGGCAGGAGTGTCAGACCTTGGGGACTGATTGCTTTCGGTGCTTTCCAGTTTGGGGCTGAGACACAACAGAGCAAAGTGGCTCCCAGCAGTGCAGCCAGCCGCCCAGTCCTCTCCAGCCGCTCTGACCAGGTGAGGGAGAACTAAACAGATTTAGACCTGATTTTTTTAGGGGACTCCAGAGTCCAAGATCCCTGCATATCTTTCTACCTATCCTAGATTTGGATAATCCAATCCCTTCCCTTACCTTGTGTCCCCAACTCAGAGCCCTAGCCTCCACTGCCCTGTCCACTTTAGAATACAGGTCATTTAGCCTCCAACCACCCAAATCCCCTCTCTTTCCCAGAGTCAAAAGAATGAAGTGTTTTTGGATGTGGTCGAGAGACTGTCCGTACTGATAGCATCTAATGTAAGTTTGGGTCCCCAGCCCTGGAGCTGAGGATAGATAGTACCTCGGAAACACATTAAGAGGTCACCTCTGGGCATTAACCTCCCTGCCACTCTCAGGGCTCACTGCTGAAGGTGGATGTGCAGGGAGAGATCCGACTCAAGAGCTTTCTTCCCAGCGGCTCTGGTGAGAAGTCTGCAGGTTGGGCCCAGAGTTGGGTTTGGGACAGTCTCCTTGCTAGTGTGTATGGTGGTATTTGTCGACCTTTTCTGATTGTCCTTTTCTCTGACAGAGATGCGCATCGGTTTGACAGAAGAGTTTTGTGTGGGGAAGTCAGAACTGAGAGGTGAGATCAAAGTGGGTCTTTCTTATGTTTAGGTCACTACCAGAGGTTTCATGGAGAGAAGTTAAGAGATAGATCCCCACCCCACCCCTGCTCCTCTCTCCCACTATATGGGTTAGCAGAGGAGACTTTCTTTCTTTTTAGGTTATGGGCCAGGAATTCGGGTAGATGAGGTCTCATTTCACAGCTCAGTGTACCTGGACGAGTTTGAGTCTCATCGAATACTCCGCTTGCAGCCACCTCAGGGCGAGGTCAGGATGGGCTGGCCTAGTATCCTCCATCTACCCAAGGGAAGGGAGGCAGTTCAGGTGTGAGGAGACCAAACTGACCTCCATTCCTTCCTCATCTCAGCTGACTGTGATGCGGTACCAACTCTCAGATGACCTCCCTTCTCCGCTCCCCTTCCGGCTCTTTCCCTCTGTGCAGTGGGACCGAGGCTCAGGCAGGTGAGACCATTCTGCCTTGTTCTAGAAATTCTCTGGAACCCAAGCCAACAGACGAATGTTCCCAGGACTTATTGTGGAGGGATGATGGTTAGTGGTATAAGGTACAAATTAGAAAAAGGCAGCCTTCCCCCAAATGGACTCAGCCCCATGAACAGTAGTGACTGGTGGACTCGGGTAGATTTCAGCTCTTCTCTCTCTTTCCTTCAGCACATGCATGGGGGCCTTCAGTGGGGGATGGTGAAACGGCAGTAGGATATGGCCAGAGTAATGGTATTATACTCTTTCACCCAGGCTCCAGGTTTATCTGAAGTTACGATGTGACCTGCCACCAAAGAGGTATGAGTTGGGTAGCCAAGACTAGTTCATCTATGGGTAGTAGGAGACAGGGCCCAGATACCTTTTGCATCAGCTTTCAGATGCAGCCACCAACTTTGGAATCAGTTTAGTTAGAGGCTTGAGAGTTTGAGAATGGGATTGGGTGGCACTTGTGCTGAATTCCAGCTGTGACATTAATGAAGAATGGAGACAAGTCACTGCCTTTCCGGGGCTCACTCTGTTCCTTTTGTTTGCAGCCAGGCCCTCAACATCAGGCTGCACCTTCCACTGCCTCGAGGGGTGGTCAGGTTAGTGTGTGTGCATCGTGGGGTGTACGGTGGGTTTGCCAGCTTCTCTGGACAACAGAATAGCACCAGGGAGAGTGTGCACTGCGGCGGGTAGAGCTGGCCTAAGGCAGCTGAGCCTTGCACCTTTCCAAACTCCAGCCTGTCTCAGGAGCTGAGTAGCCCAGAGCAGAAGGCAGAGCTGGGGGATGGAGCACTTCGCTGGGACCTGCCTCGGGTGCAAGGAGGCTCTCAGCTCTCAGGCCTTTTCCAGGTACCAGCTGCTGCTTCTCTAAGGCCCTCTTCTCCCACCTCCATTTTCAGCCCCCCGACTCATCTCCTAATGTAGTTGTTGCTTTGTTCCCGCCAGTATGGTCACCTTCCTGGCCCTTTGTCTTCCCTACCCACGTTCCTCTTTGTGCCTTCAGCACCCCTCCCTCTACCTCTGTCCCTCACAGATGGAAGTCCCAGGTCTGCCTGGGCCTCCTGGTCAAGGGCACTCCACCTCAGCCCCTCCTCTGGGACTGGGCCCTGCGAGCCTCTCCTTTGAACTTCCCCGGCACACATGCTCCGGCCTCCAGGTTCGCTTCCTCAGGCTGGCAGTCACATCCTGCGGCAGCACCAACCCCCACAAATGGGTTCGGCACCTAAGTCACAGTGATGCTTATGTCATTCGGATCTGAGGCTCCCCAAACAAGGACATGGGCAACAAAGGCAGTGGCCTGTGGTTCAGAAGAAGGACAATACTGTCTTTTTCAGCCTTCTGGCCTGTGGCTATGGATCTGGGGAAAAGAGTCCCACCTCCTAGGGACCATGAAGACTCAACACGTTAGACCCTCCTAT